ACTAACTGTTGCTACTTGTGGCAAAAATTTTAGCCAAGTTTGCCTACTTAAATCACTGCTTACAGTAGTAGCATTAAATACATAACGAAGCCATATTAAACACAAGGTATAAAGCATCATAATGAAGAGTAAAAGCCTTACTACCTGCAAGGTAAAAAATCATATTAACAATTCCAACTTATCACCTCAGCATGTTTTACTCTAATACAAACCCATTAAAGTATTGAACCCAATGAGATCACTTCTGGTCTAAATATAATTTGAGTTAATCTTTATTCATTTCAGTGCAACTACACATTTTATCTGGTTCTTAGTTAACTGAAAGTAATTTTCCTTGTCTTCCTAATATTATTGTAAAGTCTTTTTGAAGTATGATCCCATTTTTAAGAAGAAAATTTCAAGGCTGTTAATACAGAAAGTGAAAGCAAGCTGTCAGGTGTGTTCAGTGGTATAGAGAGCTGATGTTCTCTGTGTAAGGGGCAAATGCATCTCAAGCCTCAAACAAATGAGTAAATCATTCAGCCAACATGCTATCTGCCTGTGAAATTAACATAAGACAATTATTTGTCTTTTTTTTGTTTACTTTTGTGTGCTGCTAAGCAATTAAAATGTGTTGTGGAAAATAGAAGAATCTTGCTGACTCCACAGAAACTTTTCCATGTTTCCCATTTTCCCCAAGAGTGGGTCATAAATAAAGTCATAGCTGTAATAATTTCTGAAGCAAACAGTTCAGCCAGATAAATCTCAGTAGAAACCTAAAAATTTTGCACTGCTATTCCAGTTTTTCACATTGGTGATTTTAATAAAGGTGGACTTGGGCAAAAAAAAAATAATTTAAATTCTATGACAGTTCTATGTGGATGATAAGTTAGCATGGACATTTAGATCCTATTATATGTAAACCATGAGAAAGCTCTAAAATCTCTGGAAAGAGCAGGTTTCTAAATCAGGTTTGAGCAGGATGATTTTCATTTCTCTCAATCCAACTTCCTGCATGCTCAGGTGAGGCTTTTTCATGCTTATTGTCCCATTTTAGAGATTGAAGTTGTTACCTCTGATTTCAGGATTTTTAAAAAGCCCCAACAAACCGAATGTTTAAGTAAATCCTTAGAGTAAGGATTGCACTAAAGTTTTAGCTGTCTAATGTTGCCATTTGGTCAGGATTTAGCATTCAGCATTGACATCTTTGCTTTGTGCACAGGGTGTTGTGTGAATTGTTTTGGGGTTAATCTGTAGTTCATGACCAGCCTTGTTTCACACCCTCCTTCACAACTTCCACAAAAACAGCTTTAGCCACATGTGATTCAGACCCTTGTCACCTTTCTGGGCAATGTCATCTTGTAAAAATTAAGGTCTTTAGAAAGCATAGAGCAGAGATAAGCTGAGAGATTATTGCTGATGATTTGGTGTTTTTCTTTTTCAGCTGAGGGGAGATGCAGTTTCAAAGTGTAGTCTTAGATTTTGGAGAAGTTGACTTACCACAGGCTATCTTTTTTTTTGTATTTAAAAACGGGACTGTATACTTAGTACCACCAATTTTTGTATGGCTGCAAAACATAATGTTTTTCTTATTGATGACGTCTGCCTTCAGCCCTGAGGTAGCTTTGTAGTGCTGGTGAACAGCCCTGGAAATGCAGTGCTCATCCTGGGAAGCAGGATGAGCAGAGAGAAAAGTAGTATAAAGCTTTTATTTTTCCGTTTGTATTTGACCATTATAGCCCTGGTGTTACTTCAGGTTACTGCTTATTCCTTCTTCTTACTTATCTGATAAGGACACTTAAAACTTGGAATCCCCTATGACTTTGTGTGGATATTGATATGGAAGTAATTAAACTGCACTTATGAGTGCACTTGACCCTCATGTGCTCATAAAACTCTGTAAACGTTAGGTGGAAAATGGAATGTAGCTACTGTGTTAATTTCTGCAGTTTGTGGAAGTTGAATGACTTAATAGATATTATTCTTTTTTGCCCTAGATTCAATCTAATAGACCTCCTTTCTATCCTGGAAAAGATAAAATTTGTGAGACTGTTGGAGCTCTTGGAGAGCCCAGACTCTTGTCTGCCTGGTCTTCGCTTCTCACAAGTATTTCCAGGAATTGGGTAGTGCTGGCTGATCTATCCCTCTTACTCAGAGATTGCTATTTTTTAAATACCTTTTCTGACCTGGTGGCTGAAAAAGTATGTGTGCTTTCTTCACTATTAATAATAGCCAGTATGAATAGGTGTTGAGATTTTATTTTTAGCTTTCCTTTCAATAGGGGAGACCAGTAAAAATTGCAAGTTCTTGTTTTGGTCTTAAATTGTACATCAGAAATGCATTTTTAAGTGCTACTTTTACTGTTGTACAGTTAACTTAAAGAACAGAAAGTTGTTTTCAGCAAAGATGACTATTGTGAAATCTGGAAGAATTTAGATGCCTCTTGCTAGCAATTAGTTTTTTTGTTTTGAAAAATTTGGTAGTAATTTCATTTATTTATTTCATTTATGGTTACATGATGTTTTCTGTGTCCTAACCTGTTTTTGCTCTTGATCAGAAATGCAAACCATCTCTCAAGTATTGTATCAGTTTGTATAATCAATAAATAAAAATAATTATTTAGGACTAGATTAATATGGTGCAATCAAAAGGACACAAAGAGTTGCAGAGGTTTAAAAAGGCGAAATAAGAGTCTCAGCTGCAGTGGTTGAAACAGGATTGATTATGCTATTAATGGTTATGTTATGAAATTAATGTTATTTTTTCTGTGCGGTGGGATATATTTCTCTGTATTTCCTTGTAGTTTAAACTAAGAGAGGGAAATATGCAGCTGCTGTTCCAGCAGTCCTGTGTGAGTTTTTGATCTGACACCCTGCATTGTAGTAGGTACTCCTCAGGTAGTAGAGGGGTGCAGTACGAGACATCAGGAGTGGAAACCTCCACAACTATTTGTATACTGATGGCACCAAAGAACAAACCATTATCCAGCAAGCCTCTTTACATGTGAGGTTTGTAGGGAACTTTTTCCAACTGTGATTTAACTTCCCCAAAGCAAAGCCATTTGTTAATTCTGATAACCTCAGTGCCCGTTTTATTTCAAGGAGAGTCCCTCAAAGATTTTCGCACAGCTACTCTTAAAGGAAACAGAGTACTATTTGTTTTTGTATTGGGAAGCCAATAGTTGTGTTGCATGCATGGTTCAATGTGTGAATCATTTCTCAGGGAAAATGCATCTTTTTCAGATCCAAGACTTCAGTCTTTTGTAAATAACCAGAACAATTTCATGGAAATGTTTTCATCATTGTTTGGCATTCTACTTAAATGTTTTACACACAGGAATGTACTATTTATGTTTGAGGTTTTGGTTTATACTTTGGCATAAGAACAGGGATTTCCATTTCCTATGTCTTATTAATTTCCATGAATATGCACTTGTCCATTTACAGTATATTAATAGGGATGCTTGAGGCTCTTGTGTGAATTAATGTAGCAGAAAAAGGAAGGCAGAGAAATTGTGGATATGTATGTCAGGATGGGTCAATCACAAGTACTGGCTGTAGCAGTATTATGCAGAGTGGTTGATCTTCTGAGATGTGATCTGTAAATTTCCCGAAGATTGATTTTCTGAGCAACAATTGCCTTATGTCAGATCAATGGCCTTAAGTCTGGTTAGCAGTAAATATCATATATGTGAATATTAGTTGTGACTGCCTGGTGAAAGTTAGTTAGATGGTGGATTCCTAACAGAAAAACGTATGTTAGTACAAAACCACAAGAGCAAATTGAAAAGAAAGACCCTGTCCTTCATTGTTTGGATGTTGATAATATCCTCTGCACATTCAGTCAGCACAGAATGTAATTCTGCCTCAGTGAAGGGTGGGTTGTGTGCATATTTCTGTGTTTTGTATCTCTGCTGTATGATTCCTTATTCAGTGTTCAGTGTATTCTTTATGCAACAATTCATCCTTTAATTGACCAACCTGAACGGAGAGCCTGTGGGATGAAATGAAAGGGAAGCGCAATGTTGTGAAGATGTATAAACTTTTGACTTGTATTTGTTAGGCTCCAAGAACATCCAGTAGTTTTCTGGTAAAGAAATCTCCTTGATTAATGCTGTTGGAGGCTGTTGAAGTGTAGCCTTTGCTAGGTTACAAAAACAGGCTGTGAAGGATAGACTTCATAATGTGTAGGTGAGGATGTTTTCAAGTCAGAAAAGCAGATTAATACGTATTGTCTCTTTATGCATTTATTTTTAAAACTTCCCACTTTAGTGGACAAACATTTGTAGAGAAACTGATATTCACCCTACATTTTTATTTTTAATGTTTTTCTGCTTTCCCTTTTTCTTCTCTCCTCAGTCTGTGTGTGATCATTGCTGCTGACTGCTGAACTACAATGTCTCTGTGAATAAACTAAAGGAACCCAACCTGATGTTTGGGTCACTGACTGGATTAGCAAAAGTTTAAAAAAACCCTCCAAACCCCGAAAGTTCTATTGCAAGTGTATCTTATCAAGCTACTCCTTTTTAGTGGTTTCCCTTTCTGGTCATCAAATTAATTCTGTGCAGTGTTTTCAAAAGTTTATCTCCTCTTTTGGCTTTGTGATGGCATTTTCCACAGACTTTACCCAGGTATGTTTGAAGTATTTGGGCTTGTTGGACTGCTGTTCTGCAGGCACAAACACAGCAGACCTACAACAACTCCATTTCCAGGCACTGGTATGAAATAAAAGCAGCTGGCTTGCTAGCCCAGTTTTAGCAAAGGAATTTCCATGCCTTGTGACAGTGACTGATGCAATTTTGCAATCCTGGTTAATTTTTGAACAAAATAGTAAAAATGTCTTCCAGAATAATGCTGAGTTTCTGAAATCCTAGCTTAGGAATTTTGGAGAATAAAGAGGATTCCTCTAGCTTAAAACCTATACACTATTTATTGCAAACTTGCTCCCTTGCAAATGTTTGGAAAATCTACATTCTGTATGGGAATATTGCAGAACCTGTCTAAATTTTTTTTTATTTGCAGGATGAAATGTGAAACCTTTTAATTTATGGTTCATAAACCCACTGGAGTAATGACACTACAGTCTGTAGTTTGGGGCTAGGATCAAACTGAAGAAAGGAAGAGCAGATGTTAATGCACCAAAAAAATAATTCCCTGTGGTTCTCTGAGTGGTTTACAAGCAACACATGGTTTAAAGATGAAGCTGAGGAAGATGAAGTACAATAGGAATGACTTGACTGTCACTTTCAAAGCAATTTATAAATGCATGAAAGGGAGGGGGTTGTTTCTGATTGTGCTTGAGCACACTTCCATGCAGGGAGACTTGTCAGATGGCATGGAAATAAAAAGCAGCTTCTTTGGCATGTTGTATATTGATTGCTCTGTCAAGGACAGTGATCTCTGAATTGATCTGATGTTCTGCCACACTTCATGCCCGGTCCTTTGCCTTAATGCAGCACTAATAACAGTTGTGATGATTGGAACTATTACTTAACATGTTTTTAATCTCAGCAAGTAAGAGATAATGTTTCATCAGAGCAGAAGTGTTGTCAGTCAGGGCTCTTAGTGCAAACTCACACAGGCAGTGTGAACATGTTAATTTGAGCATTAGGGAACTTCTGTCTAATCATATTGTACGTGTCTAGGCCATGTGTTTTTATTGTGAGGGATAAAAAATCATCACACTCACTTGGTCTTAACTTCTGTACTTAGCTGAACTTGCAGGTCTGTCTCTCAAATTTTCTTTAATGAGTAGAAATGCATTCAATTTCACATTTCCCAACCTCTACTCCATGTAAAAAATTAAATTGGAAACATCATAAAATAAAAAAAATCAGATTAAAATATTTTCATTTCAGTATGTTTTGAGTAGTTTGTTTTTTTACTGCTTTCGCATAAAAAATGTTCTAGGCTTATTGGTCTAGGAGTATGCTCCTGTGTGATGTGTTCTGTAACTCTGTGGAATTTTGCCTGCTTTCGTATCACTGACTCTACTTAAAATGCTTTTTCTGCTTATAAAAAAAAAAATAGAAGCCTATCTTTTACTAAACGTACTTAGAAGTTCTGGGAAAATCATACTTGAAAGACAGAATTAATTTGGAGGAGTTATTTTCCTATTTCAGTATGTTTTCTTTGAGTAGTTTGTTTTCTTTTACTGCTTTCGGATAAAAAATGTTCTAGGCTTATTGGTCTAGGAGTATGCTCCTGTGTGATGTGTTCTGTAACTCTGTGGAATTTTGCCTGCTTTCGTATCACTGACTCTACTTAAAATGCTTTTTCTGCTTATAAAAAAAAAAATAGAAGCCTATCTTTTACTAAACATGCTTAGAAGTTCTGGGAAAACCTACTTGAAAGACAGACTTAATTTGGAGAAGTTATTTTCCAATTGATGGTGAAGCCTGGCATTAATCATTGTGTATGAGCTATTGGAACACAGACTGCACTACACCAAGTGTTGGCAGATGCTGCTTTCATAATATTTGGTGGTGTTCCTTAAACACCAAATGCACTGCCTGCCAATTCTTGTACTTAGAAGTTCTGGGAAAATCATACTTGAAAGACAGAATTAATTTGGAGGAGTTATTTTCCAATTGATGGTGAAGCCTGACACTAATCATTGTGTATGAGCTATTGGAAAACAGACTGCACTACACAAAGTGTTGGCAGATGCTGCTTTCATAATCTTTGGTGGTGTTCCTTAAACACCAAATGCACTGCCTGCCAATTCTTTGGAACAGACTGAATGTGTATTGCAAGTTGCCTATGTTATCTCATGGAAAAACTGGAATCTGGCTTTACATGGAGTAAGGGGAATCCAGATTCAAGAAGTTTTTATAAGAAGAGTTAATTTCATGTGATTTTGCTGTTATGGCAAGAGTGCAACTCAGTTGGAAACAGTCTGTGTAACACCCGGTCTCTTGGAAGCTCTCCCATCTTTGGGGAGCAAAGGCATGTTTAATTTCATGGAAGAAAATCCCCTTTTCCTTCTTATTGCAAATTGCCTATGTTATCTCACGGAAAAACTGGAATCTGGCTTTACGTGAATCCAGATTCAAGAAGTTTTTATATGAAGAGTTAACTTCATGTGATTTTGCTATTATGGCAAGAGTGCAACTCAGTTGGAAACAGTCTGTGTAACACCCGGTCTCTTGGAAGCTCTCCCATCTTTGGGGAGCAAAGGCATGTTTAATTTCATGGACGAAAATCCCCTTTTCCTTCTCCCATCTCTTGAACTTAAGCAGGCACTTAAAATTTTGTCTTGCAGAGCTTTTTATATCAATGACTGTTTTGTTCACAAGATACAAAAAAACTTCTAATGATTACTTCAGGATGTATCTTGTAAATGCAAAATGGATCACTCATTTCCTCTCCTTGGAATGCTGTTCAGTCTCCAGTGAGCTCTGGGTTTATTGCAGGCCATTTTCTTTGCAGATCAAATTGTTCCCGAGGCGGTTAAGAACCATAACTTATATTAGTTATTTTTCTTCCTTTTTTGGGGGGAAGAATGTTGAGTTAGAGGCTCAGCAGCAAGGAAAATACTCCAACACTCCAGCTTTTTTTCATAAGTTAAAGAAAATTTTGAAGGCCTTTGAAGAATGGGATCTTTGTATCTTGCATTCTTTATTATGACAGGGATTGGCACTTTTCCCCTGCACCAGAGCCTCTTTCCTGTCACTTTTAGCAGGCTGCACCCCCCTCTGGGTCCTTGCTGTGGCCATCAGCCCTTGCCTGGTCAGCTGGAGAAGACACCACTTTACCTGAAGCAGTGCTGGGCAGGATGAAGAGATGTTAAGAAAGCTGCTAAAGATAAGTTTCAAGTGTTTGACAAAATAATGTAGATTTTAAGGACAAGTGTTGCAGAACACAAGGTTTTAGTTTAATGAAGTTATTTGGAAAATAATTTTCATTTCCCAATATGGATACTGGGAAGGAGCAACACAACAGGTCTGTTTGATTTCTAGTATTTCTCTTTCCTGGAGACTCTCTCCTTCCTTCTGGATCTTTTTCCTCTTAGCCATGTGCTGCTTAATTCCTTCTCTCTGTAAATGTGTAAATTTTGTGAGAATGCTGCTGTGTTACTAGTTGGGCACATCCTTCTCTTTTCTGATGTCTGACCATGCCAGATTAAGTTTTGAGTCTAGGAACAAATCAGAGAAGCCTCCAGGAAGTAAGATTTGGGATGCAGTGGCTTCTACTGAAAGAAAGGAGTGTTTTGGGGCTTTTACATATTGGTAAACTTAGCAGAAATTTTTGTTTGCTTTAAGCTTTATTGGCAAAATGTTGCAGTTTTTCTGAGGCTGTGACTTCTCTTAGGAGCCGTTCGCTATTTATCAGACAAAACCATAGGGATTTGGGGGTAGTGGAAAACAGGGGAGAGTAAAATAGGTACAGAATCAGAAATCAGATCATTGTTAGCTTAACATACTACATTCAGTACTAATGTAGTTTATTCTGGGATGGTGAAGCTGTGTCTTTGATTTGATTTCTCAAATCTGTAAAAAGCATTTTATGGCAGCTTGGGAACAATTACTTTAGCACTGCTATGTTATGAAACTGAATTATTCACTTATTTAAAGTAGACTTAGAGAAAGATACTACAAAATAGCATAGGTAAAAAGTAGATGCCCTGATCCATTTCACTGCTTTTCCTGAACATGGTTCAAGAAACTCAGCTTCAGTCTTTTCAGGTATTTGCATGCTTGCCCTCTCTTCTAATATCAGGTAAGAGTTTCATTGCCAATAGCAAACAACAAATACTGAGTGATGCAGGGAGTACAAGCTTCAAGAAATATCCAACATTGCCTTTTCAGAACTTGTATAATCTAACTCAATTTCCATTTTGCACACAATTTTCTAGTCTTTTAATGGTGGCTTGTTTCAGATCTTTCTATAAAAATTTAAGTCTGATTTTTCCACTGAACTTAGGTGTTTTACAGAGGTTTGGGGTTTTTTGCATCATTTTGCAAAAAAACCCACAAGTATTTTCAACTGTCAAAATCTGAGTTGATGCTTAAACATTTTTGATCATCTTTTGCAAGGCAGAACACGTTATAGTCTCACACTAGAATTTCTATGCATTTCTCTTGAGTACTATTTCTTGAGTAAGGCTGTGCCTCCTTTTTGCAGTTATAAATCAGAATAGTAAATGGAAGAGAATGGGAGACAGGACCTCTAATCCCCAATGTGTCAGTTCTGGCTTTAGGCAAGTCACTTAAATTGTGTCTCAGATTCCCATAAAGTGGGATAATGTGTCTCTTGCTTATCAGTGTATTGTATGAATCGATTCACGCTTCTAAGATCTTGCAGAATGCTTCATGTTTCTGCATTTCACTCAACCTCCCACTGCACTCCCCACCCCCTGCTAATTCCTGGTTTTGCACTGGCCAAAAGAGACATGATGAAGAGAAGTAAGTAATTCTAATTAATATTCATAAGCATCTGAGTAAAAATGAATATAAACATAAAGATGCCACTTAGAGCATTATTATCACAGGAATATGAATCCACAAGTCAATAAAATTGCCCAGGGTCATTTTTATCTTATTGGTCTCTTGTCAGGAATCTGATAGGGAAAGGAGATGTGTGCTGGAATTTAGCAGACCCTGTGGAAGGTGTGAGAGCAGCAGGCTCACTATGCCCTGTGCTGTACAAACTGCATAATCTGTGTCAGTTTTGAGCCAGTAGATGCTGTGGCTCCACCAGGGTAATTCTATCCCTTTTCTGGAATATGTCCTCTGCTATAGGAGTTGTATTTACACAACCCTGTCTGCACTGCTGAAAGTGCAGCTGGAGTGTGTTGTAGACACAATGCAGGATCTCTGTTGGCAAGCTCTAATGGCAGGTTTTGAATGATGCCACAGCACTTCCACTGTATTCTTCTAAAATTTAAATTGTCTGGCCCTATGTGTACCTGTCTGGAACTAAGCACAAATTATAGATGGGTTGGGAAGGACTCATGAACCATTTAATTACCTTTTATGAGCCAGACTAATGGTAAGCACAGTCTGGACAATCTTACGTAGGGAACTATTGCTGCAGATGCAATTGGAGCCAAACCCTGTTATCCCTCTTGTGTAGATGGTGCAAATACCATCAGAACATCCCAAATACTAATCAGGCAAAATAACACTTCTGTAGGGAAATTGTCTATATCAGAAATTCTGATGAAGCCAAAACTTGCTGAGCAGTATATGTGATTTGAATTGAACAGGTGCAGCTTCATCAGTAAAACTTGGAAATGCAGACCAAGACAAAGCCTTAATCTGACTATTAGTTTTCAGAAAATACTCCCTGTGTGTGTATTTTAAATGGTAACTTTAATCAGTGTAAGAGACATCTAAACTAGTCATGGAACTGCAGTCCTCTTGAGAGCAATGGAATTTACAGTGTAGCCTGTTGTCTGATGAGCCTCCTCAGAAGTCATATGAAGAGATGCCTAAAGGAGAAAGTATTGTGTTTTGGAAGCTTGTGACTTGGAAAATGTTTCTAGCTGAATTTAAATTTAAATTCCAGCTGATTAGTTCTCTGAATTTGAAATACTAAAAAATGTAAGTTACTGAGTATTTGGGCATTTGCTGTGAGAGACATCTTTGTTTGCTTGTGGCACTCCATGTTCAGGGCATTAATGCAAGTCCTGGTCAGATGCTTGTGGCACTCCATGTTCAGGGCATTAATGCAAGTCCTGGTCAGATAAAAATAGGAAAACCTGGGAGGGGGAA